GTTAGCCTTCATTAGCCTTCAGTTATGACTTTCAGTTAGCCTTCAGTTAGGACTGTGAGTTAGCCTTCAGTTAGGACTTTCAGTTAGCCTTCAGTTAGTACTTTCCGTTAGCCTTCAGTTATGATTGTCAGTTAGCCTTCATTAGCCTTCAGTTATGACTTTCAGTTAGCCTTCAGTTAGGACTGTGAGTTAGCCTTCAGTTAGGACTTTCAGTTAGCCTTCAGTTAGTACTTTCCGTTAGCCTTCAGTTATGATTGTCAGTTAGCCTTCATTAGCCTTCAGTTATGACTTTCATTTAGCCTTCAGTTAGTATTTTCAGTTAGCCTTCAGTTATGACTGTCAGTTAGCCTTTATTAGCCTACAGTTAGGACTGTGAGTTAGCCTTCAGTTAGGACTTGCAGACAGCCTTCAGTAAGCTGTAGTAAGCAAGCTTAGCAACTGTCAAACTGTTGCAACTAAGCAAAGCAACCTTTGTTTAACTTTGAACAAGTTCTTAAAGTCTGGGTAAAGTAAAGTCTGAAATTTACATCTAAACACATTATACATGTCAAAACACTGTAATTAACATGTAAATGTAGTCTGGGAACTGGGTAGCACTGAATTTTGAGTTAGACTGTTAAACTGTTTCTCATTGTTTCTGTGTCCAGGATTTTTTTGGTTGGTGCTAAAAGCCAACTAGTTGACACAATGGAGCAACCCTCAGCATAAGCCCCGGACCTTGACTATATAGGAAATGGAGCCATTGGGTTCCCAGCACCATGCCGGTTGGCATGAACACAAACACACACCCTTGACTTCACAAACCACTTACAAATTTCAGCCTCCTAGGGCAAAAACTGTGGCTGCAAAAGGGTGGGGAAATTTTTGTGGACTGACCAAACAACCAACGGTAGGGTGACCATATTTTGATTTCCAAAAAAGAGGACACTCGGCCCGGCCACGACATAGCCTACTTAAATGATACTCGCAGTTTACTCAAAGATGCCTTATAATTTTAATAGGCCTATAGCCTATTTAAAGTTTATATGTATGGATAGAAAATTCAGTTATATTACAAAATAATATCTCTCAAAGACAGAAATTCAGATAGGCCCCTATAGGGGACACATAGGCCTACACACACTAGAGTGTGGTGATCCGAGCCCAACGGGTCCCAACGGGTCGGGCCGGGTTTGGTCAAAAATGTAGCTATAAATTGTATTCGGGCTCGGATCGGATTCGGTCAGCTTTCAGTGAAAATGTTGTGTAAAAATAAATAAAATCCTATTGTCTGTCCTGTTTATTGCTTGGGCACTGTTATTTACGTGACAACACCTGAACATAACACACACAGATATACATTGGCTGTTTGTTTCTACCGCTCCCCTCGCTGGAAGTCTCCCGCCGCCCGCCTTGATTAAAAGCTGAAAATAAAATAAAAGAGGGAGACAGGTGTCTCCTATTTTATCTTATTTTGTTAATTTGTCCCTCTCCTCTCGCTGGAAGCGTTGGACCTCCCGCCTCCCGCTCCCGTCTCAAACACAGGGGTCTCCCTCTCCGCTGAGCACCCACGGTGCTTGCCCGGCCTGTTAAATAGCCTGTAACCATAACAACTGTGTGACACAAACTCAGTGCTTTAGTAATTAAATAATGTCGGGCTCGGGTCGGGTTCGGACAGAAATATGCTGCCTGTGCTGCACTCTAACACACACACACACACGGAAAACCGGACATTATCATCAATTTATAAACCCGCCCTGGACTTGACGTGAAAAGTGGACATGTCCGGGCAAAAGAGGACGTTTGGTCAGCCTAACCAATGGAGCAAGCTGTAGATCTGCTGGTCACAGCACAAAAAAAAGTCTTTTTTAGCCATGTTCTCATCTTAGCGCCAGGAATGGCAATGTCTCTTTACCACTTTGATCAAAGTATCACAACTACTTCATAGATTGCTGTTATATTTGGTACAGATGTTCATGTTCCCCAGAGGATAAGTCGTAATGTCTTTGGTTCACCTGTTGGATGGATTGCTATTTAACTTGGTACAGACATTCACGGTTCTAGGAGGATGTATCCTAGTGATTTTGGTGATTCCCTAACTTTTCACCTTGCACTACTGTCAGGCCAAAATTTCTATTTGTCTAGTTTTTGTAACCTGCAAAACTAATGTCATTTATGGCCCGAATTGTACTGTGTATTTAGTGCTACTTAGCAAATGTGAGCATGCTAATGCTCTTAATTAAGATGGTGAATATGGAAAAACCTATCTGCTAAACATTAGTATGTTTTCATTGTCATTGTGAGCTTGTTATTGTCAGCTTACTGTACCCTAAGGTTATTAGCCCTTATTACTGGCTCCTTTCTTCTTTTTTTGTTTTCACATGCAGCGACTTAACGATAAGAGGCAGATCTTCCTTTTAAAAACGGGATAAACCCCACAGGAGGAAGAGTCTGGGGTTAAAGGTCAACTCCAGACTAAGCCCACGACTCTCACTGCTGTCAATACATACATACTGAGAGGATTTCAGCCGCCGCTCCTAGGCTCAACACCTCAGCAGCTAGACTAACCTGAGACATAATCACTATGTTTTTGTGCAGGAGTGGGTGGGTAGGGGGGGTTTCTACAAAACAGCATGTATTATTTGTGAGGGGATGCAATTCTTTTAGTCTGTCATGTGATCCTGTTGCCTTTGGATTGATGTTTTTCTCCCAGAGCAGCACACATGACCACCATTATGATCGTCAAAGGCTGTGTGTGTTTAATGCCATTTGTCTAATTGAGTAGCAGGGTGTTTTCACAGTTGGGAACTGTCCTTCAACTGGGAGACCAGGATTAAGTCTCTTTATTGGACAATTACTTTACTGAGTTCATGCAGAAAACATCCCGACTGATCTCCCTACAAGAATCTGTAAACTATTATAATATCTGTATGTATTGCTGCATCTCTCTGTTTGCTGTTGATTCTGTGGCCTTTGTTACCTCCTCTTGTCCACGTTTCTTCCACCCTAAGCGCCCTCCCTTCCCAGTGTTGCTCCAGTAACTTCTTGGCGAGTTCCTCTAAAGGGCTTAGAGTAAACAGGATTAGAAAGCATTAAAAAATCCCCCTCTCCAAGAGCCATCTGCCTATCTACCTGAGCCAGGAGTTGTCCTCTCCGCACCGTGGGACACACCTCTCTTCAGCTACACAGGAAACCAGCATGTCATAGTGTCGTCAAATGATTTCTGTACATGCTTCTGGTATTTTTCTGCGTCTGGAGACTTTCTGAACTATGCAAACTTGTAAGAAGCTGTTGAGAGGAAGTACATATCTACTCGATCCTTTTCCAAGTCCACGGATTTAAATACAATCACGGATTTAACATGAGCATTGTATCTTGGAAGCTGGTTTTCTACTCTGCTGCGTTTAGTTTAGTGGTCGTGTTTTTGGACATAGGGACAGGTATGTATTATCGTTAACTTTGAAACTTCTTGCTCACGACTTACCCAAAGAAGAGTCAAATTTAAGCCTTAAATGTGCTGTTTTTTTGTGGTACCATAGATGCAACACTGGAGGGTTCCTCAATGGGTTACCTGAGTCTACCTTATAGTCAGGAGCCTGAGGTGTTTCCACAGGTCGTTCATGTATCCGATGTCAAGGTATCTGATGAAGCCCAACCAGTTATCTCTCGACGGAAACGGAACATCCTTTTCCCAAGTGGAGTCAAACTCTGTGCACAAGAGACCGCCCAGCAAGTCATCGCAAACCACCTGAGCTACTTTCATCTCAGAGGTACCGTGAACTGGATGGATGTTGGGTTAGATAAGGGGTCGAGGAAACACAAACAGCAGGAAGTGAACAAATGATTTTGTGAGATTTTGCCCCCTCTGTCCCATCTCTAAGGACTTAGTCGTCCAATACGCAGAAGTGTTAACCTTTGCCACGTTTACAGTGAGTGATCCACCCGAGTCAAGAAGAAGAATGTCAGCTGACATCTGTGAGGACACCAGTTGCAATTAGGACTTATTAGATTTACTTTCAAACAGCCTGTGGTCCACTTACAGGGTCAGTTCACCTATATTACAAATAGAACAGCACTATTGAACGTACCCTAGTGGTACGTAGACATGCAGATAGCTTTGTGTATATGTGGCCAGAGTTTACTTGATATCGCAGAACCAGAGAGATAGTTAGGAGGCGTGGTGGTAGTGGGGGGGGGGGGGGGGGGTACGTAGACATGCAGATAGCTTTGTGTATATGTGGCCAGAGTTTACTTGATATCGCAGAACCAGAGAGATAGTTAGGAGGCGTGGTGGTAGTGGGGGGGGGGGGGAGACACATCCCTTTCCATCAACCTGTAAGTGCTGGGAAAACACAATTTTAAACTGACATCAGAGACACTTACATTTACTATATATTTATATTATTAACTGAACTTACCATAGAAAATTACCCCACATTATGATGTAATAGACTAGCATGTTCTAGTGGATTCCATGCATGTTTAGAGACATTACAGCAGCACTACCATTACTTAATGCCATTAACCTAACTATATTGACAAAGTGCTATATCATGCAGGGAACCACCAGAACTACAGGTCCTTGGAGAAGCCACAACTTTTTTCACAAGCAGCTAAACAATCTAAAACTGTTTGGACGAATATCCTTTTAGTGTAACTAGAAACAGCCCTGAAATCACCATCGCCAAACCCACCAAACTCCATTTATATAAACAGTAATTTTAGTGTTTTCAAAGCCAGTGTGTTTTCACATCTAAATGGGTGAATTAGGGGTTTATTTCAACCAGAGTTGGTGATTGTTAAAACATCAGAAAGACGAACAAAGAGGTTTTTATGGGTTTTATTTTGTGTTTGTTGCCTTTGAGTGGAGTGAGTTTTACGATGATGAAATAACTGTTTATTTAACCCGTTGAAGCAAGTTGGCTTGATTTCTTTTAAAAACACAGGAAGAGGGCAGCAAGCAACCAGAGAAGAAGTCACCCAAAAAAATTGCAAAGTCTTAGGGCTGCTGTGAAACTGCGCCTATTTAGGTCAGAAAAAAAGGTTATCTTGGGTGCTGGACAGCCACAATAAAGGTTCACAGGCTGAGATCAATACCAAAATAATGTTGATTTATTCAGAGCATTCGTGCACAAAGAGAAGGGTGCTCAAAGTTAAAAAAAAATAATAAAAAGTTGTTAAAAACGGCAGCAAATGTTTCAGTCTTTAACTATCACCAGTGCACTGATGATGTTTAGTGGCTCAGTTGAATTGATGTGTGGGTATTTCTCCTGCCATCCCCCCAAAAATTAGCAAGAAATTAAAAGAAAATTCAAAACAAACAAGGAAATGACCTGAATGACTGAATTTGTTTCTTACCAAGTTGCTCACCGACTGTTTTCCCATGTCGCTCCAGGCTTTAAGAGGTTAAATGTTGTCTGGTGGGTTTGACCAAAGATACTGGATTACTACAAGATGGCCCACCTACAATATACTCCCATTGAATGAAATGGTATACATTTCCGGCGGGCTCCTAAGTAGGCGTTGTCCCACGTACCCCAATCAAAGACGATGGAGAACCGCCAATCAAAGATGAGTATCCCCAACCTCGCTTCTGTCAACATGTGTGTACCTTTACTGGCCGTAAGCTAAATAAATAAATGGTCCGTGAAATTTTTTTTTTTTCCAGCGGATGCCTTAGTTACAACATGATTGAGCTAACTGGAGTAGTTTCATGTCGTATCCGACAACGGGAGGCTTTTAACAGATGACGTCCTGATGTTAGCTTTGCTGCTGCTGTTAGCTGTCCCTGTCAGCTGCAGCCACTGATGCTTTCTAGATATCGTGATTTCCCAAAACTGAATAAATACCACACATAGCAACACAAAACTGCTTTGCTAGCTCAATCATGTTGTAATTAAGATATCCGCTGGAAAAAAATATTTTTTTAATCCAGTATCTTTGGTGAAACTGCACTGATTTCAGCACCAGAGAGGAGATATCTGTTGCCAGATCTCGTGAGAGTGTGTTGTTGAGACAGAGACAGCTCTTAAACAAAGTAAATTTTCTCCTGATTTGTCTGTCTGAAATTTGCCATTTTGGTGTCAGAATGTTCTGAAAATATGTGGCTTGTGATAAATGGGTCCAATATTTGCTTCCGTGACTATGGGGCAAAAGAATCGGCCATAATCTGTAATCACGTTCATTTCTCCCACTGAAGTCAATGGACTCAGGACCTGCTGTTAGTCTCCTAAAGGGGCGTGGTGGTCGCGAACCCCACGTGACACTTATACAGGAAACTGACTCGCAGTGGACCGTCTTGGTTTTTCCACCATCTTTGGTTTGACATAACAATTTTGGAGCTGTTTCTAGTTAAACAAAAATAATCTTTGATTAAAAAAGGTCTATCTCCATAGGAATCCTTTCAGTAATCTTGCCAGACTCTTAAAATAACAATCTGAGCCTGTCAGTAGCAAAAACAAACACTTATAGGGGATGTACATTAATGGTGTGAACATACCCTGAGTGTTAACATTGCAGCCTGGCCAGTGCTCTCACTCAATGCTGGACCAATTTCAAAAACTTGCCATCAATATTTTACGACACAACAACATGGGAAAATAAGGTCCAGGTTGAAAAATACTCTGAAGTTCTACGTTTATTAGATGTGCAGAAGGTCACACAGCAACAACAGCATGGTAGCCAATGCTTTGCTTTTCTCCTCTGTGTAAAAGGAATGACGTTTTGTCGGCCCTCCCATAAATACTGACTGTATCTATCCTCCGACCTTGTCAAAACTGGGTGCCTACATTACCCACAATGTAACTCAGTGCAGACAGCTTGGTCAGAGATTTCGGTGTGTTATGCTACTAGAGGCTGATGTTGCCTCGAGTTGCTAGCTTTAAGCAGAGCTTATGAGTGAGCTAGGATCACTTCTTTCTAACTCCACACACCCAGATACTTCTTTTCATTTTTTAAACTTGTAGTTTTCAGCCACAACCAAGCCACATCACTTGAGTCAGTTTATTATATTTTGTGCAGCCTCATCAGGAGCATCAAAAGACTTAATACAACTTTTTTTCAAGTACATAATAGTACTCCTGATGACCTGTAAAAAGACTTTGATGTGCAAAATCAATGGAGGTCTCCTATAAACCACCAGGGGTGAATATAAACTGTCTGCATGGCTCAATATTGGTGGTAGAATTAAATCAAGTACTGTACTGAAGTACAATTTTGAATTACTTATACTTTAGTATTCCTATAATGTGGAAAATAGTTACTTAAATATATCAGCATATGTTTGATTGTAAACAAAGATCGTTAATCATTAAACATCATTAATCATTTATTTTGGTTAAACATAGATGTGAGTTGGAAATAATGGAGTCCGGTGTGAAGCTGTGTGTGATATGAGCAATGCAGGAATGTGTTGGAAAGTATTCAGGGACAGTTTGGACGATCCAGATGAAAGAAATATTAGTGTATCAAACAAGTGACAGTTTAAGGAGGCATAGCGAAAGGATTGTACATTCTGTTTAGGCCACAATAGGAGGAGTATGAGAAATACGTAACATATTTGAACGTAGTGAATGTAGACAGTTCAGTGTCCTCCTAGGACCAGCTTGGTTTACGTGTACTGTTTGATAATGTACAGTAAACCTGTTTCACACTGAACTCTAAAGACTGCTGTTGTCTTTTATTAAGAATACAAACAGTGTGAAAAAATGATGAATAAATGATGGACGTAGCTACCATGATGTTGCCCACTGGTTTGTGGAAGCCTGTTTTGAAGCCTCGAGTTCAGCATTTTGGCCGCTGCCATCTTAGTTTTTAGAGCCAGAAGTGACTGTAATTGGGCAAGAGGCTGGAGCTGTGGAGGAGGCAGGTTGGGTCTGACTGAGAGTCCGAGGACACTATCAGCAGACAGCCTGTCGTTCAAAGCAGCCTCACCTTAAATATGCGTAACCTTAAGCCTTAATAAAATGCAAATGTAAAATTTATTTGAAAATTACCCCCCCATTCTGTTGTCATGTAGGGGGAAATTAGCAATAGAGACCCAAACCATTTTTTGTGCCAGGCTGTAAACATGTTTATTTCTGCTGTAAAGTTGGTAGTTTTAACATAGGGGTATATGAGGACTGACTGGAATCTGGATCCAGCCTCAAGTGGCTTTTCAAAAAACTCCAGTCTATGGCACTTCATGTTGGCTTCACTTTTCAGCCCCACAGGCTGCTGCTTGGTTTCACCTTGCTGTGTTTACATTTTTTTTTTAAATTGCTGTTTCTCTTGGATGCCTGCTCCTTCTGGGACCTGATCGCAACCTTTTTAGAAAGTCCCAACCTCACCTGTGTGCTGTGGGGGTTCATGCCCATAAACATCCCGAACACAGAAAATAAGAAGAAAATAGGAAAATACAGGCAGAGGGCAGAGTCTCTGCAGATCAATACACCACCATAGTTACTTCTGTATAAGTTTATACATTGTTTTTTTAGGAAAATCCTGCATAGAATATTTTTTAGTACATTTTACTGATTATTAGGGCTGTCTTGATTACCATTTTAGAGGCTTTGAAGCTTCAGTGATAATAACCATAGCATATTCAAAGCTTCGTTGGGAGGCGACGGGACCTGGGAGGGTGGATAATGGTAATCAGTCAAATTCATATATGCTAATGTACTACATCAGCAGCATGGTGGTGCGGTGTTGCAGTGGTTACCCCCCAGCAAGAGAGTTCCGGGTTTTGAACCCAGGGTGGAGGGTTCGAAACCCCACCTGTGGGAGGGGTGGGGGAGTCCTTCTGTGCGGAGTTTGCATGTTCTCTCTGTGTCAGCGTGGGTTTTCTCCAGGTCCCACAGCTTCCCCCCACAGTCCAAAGACACGCAGGTTAATTGGTGACTCTAAATTGTCCGTAGGTGTGAATGTGAGTATGAATGGTTGTCTGTCTCTATGTGTCAGCCCTGTGATAGTCTGGTGACCTGTCCAGGGTGTACCCTGCCTCTCGCCCAATGTCCTCTGCGACTCCCAACAACATAAGCAGTTAGGGAAAATGAATGAATGAATGAATAATCAACCACATCCACCCGGGATGGCTTTAGGAGGACTTAGCGCTGCTGCATGTGTGTTTGAAATAGTGATAGAGAAAGGGAAGAAAAGGTGGAAGTTGGACTATTGCAAGCAATGTTTCTGTAACTTATTAATAACTCAGAACACAGTAGATAATTGTCTGCAGTTCATCTCACCTGTTCCTTTGGACAGCCAGTTTAATGCTTGAAGCAGGGGTTGATGACTGCACTGAGAACACTGGTCTCAATTGTGTCTAACACTCGCCACCTGCTTTCAATTTCCTCCACCATTTTAGTGGTGAAAAACAAAACAAAACAAAAATGAAAGCATTTAAATACTCATTTGGACGCTGATTATGACAACGATTGAAGCTTCGAAGCATTCGGGTCAGCCCGACTGATAATACTTCTATACTTAAGTATAATTACATTGTGATATAGTTAGTTTTACTTAAGTAAAGAATCTAAATACTTCCTCCACCACTGCTCGACACCTCTAGGGGTCAAGTTAGAGAATATGTTTTTAGGTGTGATTTGTGTGAATTGACACCTCCAGGAACAGATGCAGTGCACCGCAGGTGGGCAGCAGTTGTGAAGCAGTATATTCAGCAGAGAAGAAACATTTTGATCTGTTCTTACTTGGGAAACAATGTACAGTATGTGCGTGTGAGTGGGCTGAGATCAAGGTGTGATTCCTGTCAGTGAACTCCTGAGCAGCTAAACGTAGACAGCTTTATCAGTGCCAAGGAACAGTGTGTGAATGTCCGTGAATGGCGAAAAGTCGAGGTTTGTTATGTAAGATAGATTTGGACTCGGAGGTGACCACTAGTCTCACAGTCAGCGTTGATTAGGGAAGACTATTGGAGCATATGTTTGTGCGCAGACTTTGGGTCGGTGCCCAGTAGGCTGACTCATGAAAGGGAGTTATGTCATGACATTAACATGGCAAGGGACATGCTTAGAATTGGGCGTTGGGATTTTCTGCTAATAACATCAAGGTCTATCATTATTTGAATTAATTAAAAATTATTTTATATTCTGCTAATGATCAAACAGGGTGGTCTTGATTTTGAATTTAAGTGTCAACTCAACCAAAATAACGTGTAAAACACTGCTATAGAAGCAAGTTCTACAAGCTTGTGTTTTCAAGTAGTTGGTGTCTCTCTCCGCTCTGTCCAGTGTGCCAGGAGACCATATGGGAGGCTTTCAAGATCTTCTGGGACCGCCTGCCAGAGCAAGAAGAGTACCAAAGCTGGATGAGCCAGTGCCAGGAGGGCACAGTCATGGCACAAGATATTGGCAGCTACTTTAGCCAATCAGAGGAGCATCAGGCTCTGGTTAAAAAGGTTAGTACCTGACTAATGCTTGAATAAAAACAGTATCTGTGAGAAATACAGAACATAAAACACTGCTCTGCTTTTTTTCTATTTGTAGATAATGTCACTGCCAGGTTTTAAAAGGTAAAAGACACCTCCTCACCTCCCTCACTGCTGAGCCACCATTTCAATCATACATTCATTGATCTCATTATTAATTCTGCATCTGTTCTTCTTCTGTAGTGAGCCCACCAGGTCCTGGCAACACATGTGCAGGTGAGGTTGTCATGACTTTTACCTGGTCATAGTCTTGCTTGTCAGTTCCCACACAGAGCTTTAGATGCCTCGTGTTCATTTGTTTGTGTTTGATTTTTTTCCCCATTTTGTGCATCTCACATTTAGATCCAAATTCTCTCTCAGCACTGTTGCCATCATGTAGCACTGTTTATGGAGTTAGCACCACTAGCTGTTAGCCACTGGCTTAGCCACCTTCACGTTTAGAAACGTGAGCAGACAAGTCATACATTTTGAAAGTATAGTATCAGTAACATTGTTAACACTGTGCTACATTACAGAGAAATACAAAACCATACTAATGAACCTTCATTAATATAGGCCTATATTTTATCTACAAGTGCACGTCACACACTGAGTGAGCCGCCTGTTGATGACGCTGTCAGCTAATGGGCATGTAGCTACTTCCATGTTTCAGATGATACGTCATGTTTGTAGTCGACCAATGAAGATGAGTTTACATATCACCTTGGGTTCGTCCTTCACCTTCTCAAAATGATCCCACCCTTTGGATTTCCTGCCCGACATGTTATTAACTTATTCTTGAGATCCTACTTTTATCTCTAACCGCAGTGTGAATCATCCTTTAAAGCATGTGTGCCGTGTATTATTGACTAATGTAATATAACCCCTGTTGAAACAATCTTCTTCTATTTCACAGCTCTCCAACACCAAGAGCACCGGAAGCGGTGGAAGCTCCTGAGCTAGGTCAGTGTTACTTATAACAGAATGACATTATGTGACTTTAATCACATGGGCCTAGTTGTTTAAAGAATTCAGTCTGGATCAGAACGATCCCAGGTATTGCCATCCAGGATCAGCTAATCCATCTTAATTTTGCGCCAGTTTTTCAAAGCAGTATTGGATTCTATCACCCTCATCCAGATACAAACTTTTCAAGATTAGATAACCAATGCTCTAAATCTGACTACATATCACAATGCACAGCAGCACTGAAACTGACTCTGAATCCACCCTTCTGTTGGAAAAGGATAAAAGTTTTGAACAACACATACTGAAGATGTGATCCAGATCAAAACCAAAACTGAATTATGTGATCTAATCCAATTTCAGAATCCTTTTTTTCCCTTTAAACAACACTTTTTCAAGATTAGATCCAATCCAATATCTGAAATCCAATCAAATTACTTTTAAACAACTGGGCCTTGGTGTCTCTACTATCATATAAACATCCAATTATAGCCGTACCTTTGCACAAGCATCATTGTTTCAGTGTTAGTGAATGTTTCTGTGTGTGTTTGGTGAGTGAATTTGGCTGTATGCCTGAGATTTCGAGAGTACTCAGGGTCAGGACAGTCTAATCCATATAACCATCAGGAATCGCAGCACCTGCCAACGGTTTAAGCTCACATCCACTTGAAATAAACCAACATTTCCTTTTTTTTTTGCACATGAACTCAACCACCCAGAAGAGACAGCTAAAGAAGAGGAGGTGGAGGAAGCAGCCGTCATTGTCCCAGAGGTGGAGGAGAGTCCAGTGAGTGCACACACAGATTGTTCATATAATGTTTTGATAATTTGCACACTGAACTAAAACGTTACTGTGCCTCTTTCTAATGGCACAGCTGGACAATGACATTGCCATGCAGCCTCCCACCCCAGCTGTGCTGGAGCAGGTGGTGGAGCTGAGCATCCTCCTGACCGGAGAGATGTACAATGACGACCTCAATGATCCAGCCAGCCTCCAGCACCAAACGCTCAGCAGACAGCTTGCTGAAAAGGTTCGTCTCTGGCTCTGACTCCGTCTCTCTGTCTATCTTTACGACTCCCCTTAGTGCTACTGTTTCTTGGCTCCAGACTGGACTCAGTATATCTCCTGGTTTATGGTCTGTGATGGATGCATTGTTAGTTTTAATAACACACACTCTCTAACAGCAGCAGTAGTTAAACCCAAAGTATGTGCTGAAATACAGCGTTATGACGTGTCTTGGGAATAGATAAACCTTTGCACATGGACATGTATGCGCAGGTACTCTACCTTTGGAGGCGACTTCAGTAGTTTTACAGGTACTCGGAAAATTCAGTAAATTTGTTTAGGTGCTTTTTCCTGGCACCAGAAGCCCATTTTTGATTTTATGTCAACAAAGCACAACGTTTTTCCTGATCACTGACCTATTTTTTAATTCTCAGTGGAGATCTGCTATACACATAAAATACATATATACCCACACACGCTGTGAACACACAAACCCAGGTGCCATGAAAAGATTATAAGTTTGAGTGGAGCCGCGGACAGGCTAGTAAATGAATGCAGTGAAGGAGGAATTGGAGGACAAGCCAGGAGACAAAAGGCCCAGCAGACCTTTATTTTTTTGCGTCCTCTTCCTCTGATGGATTAAATAAAGTGGGTCAGTGAGTCTGCAGAACAGTATATGGATTGTTTTTTTTCTCAGTGCCTAGAAGCAAGGCCGTGTAGACTAATAAAAAAAGTTGACCACAGTGCAGCAGTCTGCCTCCAGAGGATTATGATCTGGGCCACAGCACAAAAGACTCAAGACCTTGCAACTGCTTTGAACAAAATTAGCCCTCTTGGTACAATAAATCTGATTTACTCTGCCAAGCAAGTTCATTGTAACCCAGGCAAACTAAGAAACCTCCTCCCGAGGCTTGTTTGTGATGCTTGATCTTTTTTGTCCTTGCAGATCGAGGACGCTTTGCAGGGGCTTCCTGGATTTAAGAGTGTGTCCGTGCTGGACTTCAGGTCAGTGTCTCTGCTGTTGTTTCAAGACGTATTTTATTGCTAGAGAGATGGTCTTTTCATAAAACTAGACTGTGTGTGCACTAGAAAGAAGCAAATACCCTTGAAATTGGTGCTCGATGACCACAGAAAACAGAGGTACTTTTTACACAGTCCTTTCTTTATGCTGCCTTTGCATTTTTACAGAGAACCAAGCGACAGCGGCATCATACCGCCTCTGTGTTTGATTTTAGACAGCATAATGGCATTGCAAAAGCAAAAGGGGAGTTACAGATGTGACCAGTAGCACAGCAGCGTTGGCCTCTGGTGTGATGTATAACTTGCGTCAGCAGCGCTTTATAAGTAATAACAATGTCATAACATGGCAATAACAATCATTTACCATCTCTGATATATGGTGTTTTACGTTGTCCCATGTTCAATGGGTAAGGAAATCGTGGACCTCATTCTTTCGCCACTGTACAAATGAGTTAGCTGCTAACTGCTATCAGCTACATTTTAGTTCTCCCACGGTGGTTCACATGTATAATACATCATCAAAACGTCACACCCATGTCACCTATGATCCTATCCTGCCCGCTGTGCCGTTTATACTGAGGTCGTTTCGGTGCTCTGTCTACCTTCGAGGCTGCTTAAGGGGCCGTACACATGCCACTTCTGTAACTGCCTAGTAAACACAGGTGGTCACGCGCTGGGTGCTAGAGCGTGGCAACAGATTGTGTCTGAGGTTTCTAAGCAACCATAACAAGCACCGTATCATAGTCTGTTTACCTGAAATCCTGAGTGCAGAGCTGATCTTTTCACAGGTTCTAAATTAATCAAGACTGTTCCTGTTTTTGGATTCTTCGTTCACCTGTTTGTGTGTAGGCCCATTGTTTGTGGGACAGATGTAAAGCTCTGGTAGCCCTGCACTAAAATGATCAACTTTTCCGAATTTAACACAGACTGGTATTTATGGAAGAAGGAGAAGATATCTGTCGGCTGTGATTGGTTGGTCCCCGTCACATGACATGCGGTGCGTGCTGCTGCATTCCAAAAATTGAACTCTGTTTATCTCAGGACGCAGCCGATGTGCCCTAAAAAACAGGCGCTCGGGAACGCATGCATGCTGTTCTAGCATTGCTGTTATGTTGCTCTGGCGTTGCTCTGGCGTTTGAGCGCACCTGCTGCCTGTCTACATTGAAAACAATTAATTTGAGAGCACAAAAAATGAGGCATGTGCACGGCCCCTTCAAGGTGAGACAGCTTTGTCATCCCATTCCATGATCTTACCTTTTATACAGAAGGCAGCATAATGGCATGAAATTTCCGCCTTGAAGAAGCAGTGTAAAAGGGGTTAGAGAAAAAGGCTGTGGTAGTCGCTTTTGCTCAAGAGGTAGAAAGCCTACAACTACCAGAATGCACAGCCAATAAACCAATAAACGCTCCTGCTGGTGGGTGACATAATGCGAGCTTGGCCATTTCCACACAGGAAACAATATGGTGGATGGCTGGTAACAAACGATCTCAAATTACAGTTAAACAATAAGCTAAATATGTTTCTGAAAGCATTTTAAAGGCCATGCAGACACAGAATCTTGTTACAAATTCTCATATTATAGAAAAACAGTGCACTAAAATTTGTTTTTGAAGACATTTTTGGCAAGTAACATAATTTTGTCAGCACTGCCTAGTTGTATGTTTGATCAGCATTTGGTTTGAGTTTGAGACAAAGAGTTGCTTCTGTACTCTTTGTGTCTGCAGTGGGGGGGATATAAGCTACAACCCTACTTAGCTACTGCCTACACTGTTATGATACAAAGCTGAACTTTTATGACTAAAACTACCTCAACTTGTTTTATTAACCCCGTTTCTCTCTTCTTGTTTCACATAGGCCCCCGAAGGACACCCATGGGTGAGTCATCAGTACCAGCTGTTGTAGTTTGACCTGGAATATTCTCGTATTTAAGCCCACAGATCCCTATCAACCATTCGTTTGCTAGATCTGTGTGAGTGTGTGTGGCATCACCTTCATCTCGCACTGTATTTACTTGTGAGCACGGGCACGTGTTGAGGTGTGCCACTAGTTGCCTGTGTTAATGGACTTAGTGTGGTCACTCGCCTGTTAAGTGGGATCAGGATGGGGCCAACCAAGTGAGCAGGTGCTCTCCTATAGAGACGATTAGCGGGGCTTTACGACCTCTCCAATCAGCCTCTGGAGGAGCGATGGAGAGGAGGAGGGTTTGAGGGAAAGATGTGTGTGTTGTAAAATGGTTGGTAATAGTGTGACTGTTTTTCTGGCTGTTGTAGCACTGGTTGTGGAAGAAGTATTTAGATACTGTAGTTACATAAAAGTAGCAATACCACAGTGTAGAAATACTCTGTTACTGTTACAAGTAAAACTCTTAAGGTAAAAGTCTTTAACATTTTAAGAAATACAATTCACACTTATGCACTGTAAATATAGTGCAGCAGCCGCTTAGCTTCGCATAAAGACAGAAACAGCCCAAAGTAACTAAATCCACCTACTAGCTCCTCTAACTTACTAAAATATTTGGCAGTTTTGGGGGGCTTTAGACACACATGTCCTGCTCTTTTTGTTTTCAACTGTACTTTTTTTACACATGGCCATAATTGTGCATACCTATGACATTAAAGGAACACCTCACCAAGAAAATGACCATTTGTACTGTATATCAAACCATGTAATGCTGAATTACGTAAGAAAACATTGTTTTTCTTGCATGCCTCCATAGTGAACGAATAATCCAAATGTCTCAATATTTTTGCAGTAAAAGGGGCCACATTTCACAACAGCAAAACTATTGACCCTTTTAGGGCCGAGAGTGTGCTCTGGATAACCGAATGGTACATTCAGACAGTGCTCTGAATTTATGATTGGTGCAGTTTGTGAGTGCGCTCTGGCACTTGAAATGATTATTTCTGAATGCACCACTTACATCATCTTCTAAAATGCATGTGTTTGGGAAGTACTGAGCGTGCGACTGGTTAAATAAGACTTGGATTATGCTGCATGAGTTGTGTGAGAGTTTGTAAACTGTTTTTTTTTTATATATAGTTTTTCTGTTGTTAAACATGGTCCCTTTAAATTAGTTCATTAAGACAGTTTTCTTGTTTTTGCATTCTTTGTTCACCGTGGACGCATGCAAGAAAAAAAAGTTGTCTTCACATACAAATGGTAATGTTGTGGGTAAAGAACTCCTTTAAGTACACTGAGAAATATACCGTATCTATACCTTCCCACGGTGATGCTGTGGTTAATCCTGCATGCTGCTGCTAACTGCAGATCCCAGTTCACAGCAGGAGTAGAGCTCTGCCTGCCGCTGCGTATGTGTGAAGCTACAGGGGGAAAAAATTGGATCTGCTTCTAAATGGGGCCGGCACGTGCTCAGCTGTCCGCCAGAAACCCCACAAACTAGGTCAGAGTGGAGGGCTCCCAGCAGTCAAATGAAGGCTGATAGATTGGCTTTTTCCAGGGTCTGGAATCTCTTGTGAGGTTTCCATGTTCATTATGATGATATTGATCATTCTGCTGACTCTGCCATTTTTGGGGCCTATACTGTCGAGCTCCTGCATGCCAAGCAGGAGTAAATCACTCGAGTCATCAGTCATGTGTGATCGCTCTACAGCTCTTTTAACAGGTTTGATGTTAAATCGTGCTAATGATGAAGTGACTTTCATCCTATAAGACACTATTTTGTACTCTCTTATTGTAAATGTGCCTATAAGATGGATGTAAAATGGTGTTTAGGTGCTGATGTGTTGATTGGGAAATTTTTTCTTCAAGTCCTGTGCTGTAGTTCATTTTTAGCCTAACATTATCTTTTTACTTCTGGTGATTGCATTTAAGCTTCAAAAATTATAAAGTGGTGTTCATTTGTGATCTTTCTGATCAAAGTATGTAAGTATCATTAACTTTTTATTGCCACAGAGCTTATTTTTTGCTATAATCCAAAATCCAGTGGAAAAATCCCATAGGCTTTTTAGAGTGCTTTCACACCTAACCTGTTTAATTCAGTTCAATCGAACTCAAGTTCATTTGCCCCCTAAGTGTGGTTCGTTTGGGCAGGTGTGAACACAGCAATCACACTGGGGCACACACCAAAACAACCAGACTGAGACCTTCTTGAAGAGGTGGTCTCTGTCTGGTTACAAACAAACTCTGGTGCGGTTCGTTTGAGGTGAGAATGTGTTCCGACCTTGATTTGAACCAGCTGCAGTCGCATTACACATTGTTTAGGTTAAAGTGTCAACAAAAACTGAACTTATCATCCTAAATGCAGAGTTTGTGGCAGATTTGTTGCATTACACTTAAAGGTGTACCTATAAAGAGGCCAGGGAGTGAATATCACAATACATTTCCACTCAAAGAACGGTAACGTTGAATAACTGCCCTGAGACCATTCAGTATGTGACTGCTACGTATTTGTGTCTTCAGGCTGGGTGGTGTTGTGGTGGACTACGCTGTCACAGTGGCGGTGGATGGAACAGGAGTGAGCATGGAGCAACTGGACTACCTGACGCTGCAGTCGAACCTGGTGGAGAGCTCATACCGTGAGGTCGTGGAGCTCCCCACGGTGGTCTACACCATCAGCGAGGTGAAGAACTTCATCACTGAAGCCCTGCATAACGACGCACTGGAGAGCGGTAAGATGATGGCCAGTGCACGACTGCTGATATTCCCCCCACTGTAACAGAACACACACATGCCACCCTTATAGCTGTTTATTTAATTGGCATGGCAGCGCCGGGAACACATTGGCAAAGGCAGTGCATCCAGCACAGGGCAGACCTCCAAACGTCATATCAAATAGAGACGCAGTAAACCCGGCATTGATATTACAACATACGCTACACCACTTGAGAAAACATTCCAGGGTTTTAATAGTCTCATCTGTTTCTTATTTGTCTGCTCTCTCTGTCGCAGAGGACAGAGACATATTTATAAGAACCCTCAGCTCAAAAGTGGGCCATTTTTAATGAACGAATAACAGAGTCATCAGTTATAAGAACCGTGTATTTATTCTAAGCTACACTTAAATCCTTGTCATTAAGTGGTCTGCAAGGAGAGCTGAGCAAAAAGGATGTTTGAAACCTGAGCATCCAGTTTTTTCTTCATTTAAGTCCTTTATTTTGGCTCAAACCCAGTGGATCTTACAGTTACAGTACTTTACTGGACACAGGATGGACGGTATAGTAAAAATAAAAGATAAAAAGTGATGCAGCAGAGGACAAAAAAGTAACGCACACACTCTCAAACGCTCACATAGGGATATTTAAACCACTGCGCATCTGTTAGACTCAGCCAGGCAATAAGTAGGTTAGCTGCAGTCTCCTTCTGGCCAGCAGCCTTCACCAGAAATGTGAAGAAATTGAATGATGTGATAATGTCTATAGCGTCTCCTCCTCCTGTGAGATTTCTCCCTGCTCATGTTTTTGAGAAAATGCGTGTCATTAGTTAGCGAGCGCCCCTGGAGATGAATGCCATCTGATGCTCACATTAATTATAAGCTTGGACATGTGAAATGAGGGCTAAACACTCTCATATGGCTGACATGTGTATCTGGGGAACTTGAAGGCACTTCTTGGCTTTGTTTTTCTGCCTTGGTGGCGTTGCAGTAATAGCCTTGGCCCCACAGCGGCTGATACTCGCTCCAGATTTTAGCTCTGATTTGTAGATATTTACCCCTGAAGGTAATGCTGTCAAATAGAAAGCTGTCAGTGCTGAAATGGCACAAAAGGATTCTGCAGATTCCTGCAGGCATGATTATTTTTGCTATTTGGCCCGTTTGCATATTGTGTGTCAGTTTATATTAATATTTGTTTCCCCCCACTGGTTCCACAGTGTCTGAGGCCCCTGAGTCTGTCAACGCTGCAGACGGAGCCGCGGTGAGTTACCTCCACAGCTATCATGACAACAATCTCTCTCCGTGCTCTCCAGCTGCTTTGAGCTCCACAAAGCTGATTCATCACTTCTGTTTAAGGAAGCTCGACAGCTGTAGTATGAGTGATGTTGCGATAACCTGTAACTGGCTTTGTGATGTTATCCAGACCCACACCAGTGCAGGTAGGGGATGAGATCACCAGTAAGGATGAAGTGAGGCTTTGAGGATTAGTTTGGCTCTTGCTATTATAATCCACTGCTATTCTGGGGCAAAAGCTACAGCGAGTGCGCCGCACCACAGCGAGCGATGAGGAGAGACAGCACATATGAGTTTATTCAGACAAGTAATACCATCCAAAGTCTGTCTTTATTTGTGCTGTCTTGTGGTCGACTGTGTGCTTTGATGGTAATCAGAGTTTGGGTTGCACTAAATGTGTCTGCTGGTTCACTTTGTAGCTCAGCTTGCTAAGTGATTAATTTGATTCATTATAGGAGTTGGGGGAGTTTGGAAAACTTCTCATCAGTAATTGATTCACAGGCAACAGAGCAGAGCTACTGTGCCACCGAAGCACTTTGCTGCCCTGGTTAGGATTTGGATCATTTTTGTTTCGGCTGCTGTTTTTCGAACTCTTTATGAGTTGATATTAAAGTGTACGACGCCTGCTGTGTGACTTTTAACAGCTCAGCCAATACATGAATCAATAGCTGTTGTACATTTATTAATTCAATTTGCATCTATGTGATTCATCAATAACTCTGGTAAATCTGGTGCGCAGATATGAAGCAAGCTGAGCACACTTCCAGTAAAGGTGGATGAGAGCAGTTTGACTTTAAAGTTTTCACTGGAAGCAGCAATGACAATATTGGACAACAAATCCCTTGGCAGTGATTACGAACCAAAAGTGAGATGTACAAGAGACCAAACATATTGAAATAATCAGTTTGTGACAATAACAAGGAAACTAAATTCCCAAAAGTACTGGTCAGTTAGCTGGAAACAAACAGAGTGTCACCAGTGAAAGATCAACCATCATGGAAAATACAACAGAATAATTAATCAAAGACATAAAATCCGCAAGAGTGAAACTAAAAAGAGTGAAACACATGACAATTTTCCCAACAGTGGTTCAAGAGTGTTGCATGCGCAGCACTATGAGCAACACATCAGCCGCGTTTGTGTTTGGCCGATTGTTTACACGACAGCGGCATTTTGGGTGCCTGAAAGCGCAACGTTTTGAAAACGGATTCCAGAGTGCAATTTTTTGGAAATGGCAGCGTCTCCGTTGTCATCTAAACTTGCAATATGCAGTTCCTCTGAAAATGGAGACTTTTAGCACATGCGCATTACGGTTCCAGTCACTAGGCATGTGCGAGAAAGTTGACTGTCACAGCAACAATGCCGAGCTCTGTTTGTGCTGCTCACCCTGTTGATTTGAAGTGAAGTGTAGATCTGTTACTGTAGCAACTCCACCTCGTCGTCCATCCAGACAAAGTTATCTGTGCATGCTTTCGCCATTGTGTCTTCTTTGTTTTGGTTTGTAATCACTGTGTTGTAGAGGAAGGCGCTTCAGCGCAGGTGCATGGCGTCATGCCGTGGTGTTGCTTTGCAAATTTACATTGCCACCTATTGACCTGGCGTGCATACTACAGCGTTTCCAGTAGATTTTGTGGCTCCGTGTGAATGGGGATCGTTTCAATAACGTGGCCATATAAACGCAGAAGTTTTTTAAAATGCAAAGGACAGACTTTTCTGTTTTTAGAGAAACCGTTGTCGTCTAAACAGGGCCTTATGGTACTTTCGCACATGCCCTGTTTGGTTCGGTTCAATCGAGCTCAAATTTGTTTGCCCCCTAAATGTGGTTCGTTTTGGCAGGTGTGGAAACAGCAATCGCACTCATGTGAAAGCAGGACCAAGACCTTCTTGAAGAGGTGGTCTCAGTCCGGTTACAAACGAACTCTGGAGCGGTTTGATTGTGGTGAGAACGTGTTCCGACCTTGATCTGAACCAACTGCAGTCACATGACACATTGTTTGGGTTAAACATGAGCATGTTACAGTCCTGGAGGGTTATTAATGTGCACCTCCTCCTGTACTGCCTTAATATGCACATTGAGCACATCCAGTGCATCAAAACATTGTTTTCTAGTTGGAGCCTTTTTGAGTGGTCTCGGTTTGGTTATTTGGTCCGCACCAGGGTTCGATTGACAGCTTTCACACCGGCTCAAACAAATTGTACTAACTGCGCAAACAGACCTCAGTTTGTTTTGATCAAACCAAACAGGTTAGGTGTGAAAGCACCCTTAGAAAACTAGGTAGTATATTAGCATGGTTAGCAGTTAGCTGATTGTAGAAAAATCACAAATTAACAGTCACAAAATACATGATTAAAAAGTACCTTTGGATAATTTAATAAAAAGATAAGATAAATATTTCCTTCTGTGCCTATCATATTCCAGCGCACAGTTAATTTGTCTTTTGCTTTACTTTGCAGTTCAGTCTTTGTGATAATTTAATTCAAAGTGTACCAGCAGCAGGCCCCCTGATTGGCCTGACTTGTAAACACAAAGCAGCTGGCCAATCAGAGTTCCTCTTGCATGGCACACTCTAAGTGAAACAGGGCCAGAAAGTTGAGGTATTAAAGCCTGTTTGTGATGCAGATTAATGCTGCCGATGAGTCAACGGACGTCATGATCCTGGAAGAGGACACAGAGGATGTCAACAAAGATGATGTCCTGCCCGAGCTCTCTGAAACCAACACAGTGTCCGCAGCAGAAAATGACGTAATTGTTCTGGAGGAGAGTGTAGTTGTGTCTCCTGCTCCTGTCCTGACCACGAGTGCACCTCAAGCTGGCAGTGAGTGTTTATCCTGAACACAAGCAGACATTCAGTCATGCATTTTATCCCCCTGTGGTGTTTTTCTCTTTCACCTCTACCTTTTCTTTTATTATTTCCATTTTTGTGACACTCTTGCAGTCTTGCACTTCTGACTGCTTTATGTTTGCACTAAAACTACTTCTCAGGAGATATACAGATGATTTCTGTACCTCTCAGGTCCCATTTTGTCGATCTTAGATTAAATGTTTTGTCTGTGGGCTCTGGAAAAAGGTTCCCAGATTGACTTGAGTTTCTTCTCGTCTTTGTTTTCCCAGGCATTGAGGAGGAGGGTCTGTTACCAGGGGACACTGTGCAGACTCCTGCTGTAGAAAACCCCCCACCAGAGGAACTCCCAGCTGAGCTTCCCTCCCCTGAGCTGCCAGAGGACCTCATGCTGCCTGAACCACCAGTGGAGGTCGAGGCCTCTGGTTCAGGCACAGCCAACGTGGAAGACCTGCTCCAGCCATCTACACCCACAGAAGAAGTGTCTGTTGAGAAGACTGGATCAGAAGATGGGCTGATAATAGAAGATGTCCCCATAGATGCAGATGCAATCTCTGAAGCTGAAACTGTGGATGTTGAGGTTGCGGCAATTGAAGAAGAACCTACTACTGCTACTCTGGAAGAGGCAGAGGCAACTCTGGATGAGGCAGAGGCAACTCTAGATGAGGCAGAGGCAACTCCGGAAGAGGCAGAGGCAACTCTGGAAGAGGCAGAGGCAACTCTGGATGAGGCAGAGGCAACTCTGGGTGAGATTCCAGAGGAGCTAGAGATCTCTACAATCGCAACTGAGACCACAGAAGAAGAAGGCCTACCTGGCCTGGTCCCTCCTCCTGATGCTGTAGATGTAGCGAGCGAAGCATCAGAGCCGGAGGCTGCAGAAACAGGTCTGCTTCCTGTTGGTGAAGACTCAGTGGAGGGCACAGAAGAAGACTCAAACCTCACAGATGTTCCATCCGCTGATGAGGAAGTTAACCCAGAAGAACCTGTGGAAGACGCAGAAGTCAACGTGATGGTGACGTACCCTGAAGAACCTGTATTTGAAGAGGGTGGCATGGACAACGAGGGACAAGAGCTGAAGGAAGCTCCTGGAGCTCCACCTGTAGAGGAAGTGGGCCCAGCAGCTCCAGAGATCTCAACAGAGGATCTGACAGAGGATGAGATCTTGCTGGTTAACAGAGATGAACTGGAGCCACCAGTGACAGATTCTCTGATCCCTGCCGAACCAACTGCCCTGTCTCCAGAGAGGGAGTCGCCTTTCACCCGCATCTCTGACGTCGACCCTGCCCCTGATGAGCAACCTGACATCATCATCCCTTCAGTGGTGGAGGTAAAGCAAAATTATCTGCCCTAAGGTGTCAAAGGGCAGCACGTCCATGTGCGTCTAGCCACTGCTGGTGTGGGGTTGTACATGTAAAATAATATGGGTGGCTGTTTTGATGCGTGATGTTCAGCGCCGTTGTGTTTTTGCCTCAAGTCTCAAACTTCTGATGTTCTCAAATATAAAGTCTGGAGCGGCTTCATAGATAATGATGGAAGCCTGATTTTGTTAAACCACAGAATGCTTTTCTTTTTAATACCCAAATGAGCTTTATTCTATTGTAGTGTTCTCAGCTCTGACACAGAAAATGTACCCATATACTCAGAACATTCCCCTGGGTGCTCTCAGTGTCATCTAGAACATCTTTCCCAATTCATTGTCTATGGAGCAGCTCCACACTTGATGACATTACAAATTTGAGTTTTAGCACTTCAGTTTCTGGATTTGGGAGAGAATTGCTCATGTTTACAAATATTTTTGGACATCTAAGGCCACAGGAATAACGTAGGAATTTTGAAAATTGGCATAGTTTCTCTTTAAGACAAAGTAACCATTGTTATGTCCCAGTTAGAAATAAACTGTCCGTGCCAATACCCATACTACCATACTATTTAGTATGCCAGGAAAAGATGTATGTATGTATGTGTCAATACATAGTATGTCAATGCAGTATGCCAGAAACACCAGAATGTTCTACTACATCCAGTCAGATTTTGCAGCATGCAAGCCAGCATACTTTTCTGACTATTCTGACCCACAATCCTTAACCCACACCCAAAATACCTCTCCCCACAATCAATCTTTCAAAACTTTTTTTACCCCCAGATCCAGACCACTAACAGCGGCTTGGATGATGCCACCAATGGAGACCAGGACTATGATGTGATCCATTATGGTTATGGTTTGATTAACCACACAGAGGAGGGCAGTACTGGCTTCCCGTTTGGTGTGGCACACGGCACAGACCATGTCAGTCTTGCCATGCCTGTGAACCCTGGACGAGCACTGATGGTGTTCTTCAGCCTGAGGGTGACCAACATGATCTTCTCAGACGACCTCTTCAACAAGAGCTCCCCAGAATACAAAGCTTTGGAGCAGCGCTTCATAGAGCTGGTAAACGTCTCACATTTACCGTACTTGTGGTTATTAGTGTTCCCACTGTTGTGTTGTAACATCCAACTGTACATCTTTTCCCAGCTTGTGCCCTACCTGCAGTCCAACCTGAGTAACTTTGAGAACCTGGAGATCCTGAACTTCAGGAACGGGAGCATTGTGGTCAACAGCCGGATGAAATTTGGCAAACCTGTGCCACAAAGCGTCACCACTACTGTCTATCTGATCCTGGAGGACTTCTGCAACACAGCCTACCAGACCATGAACCTGGCCATCGATAAGTACTCACTGGACGTGGAGTCAGGTAGGTTCACATCGATGTACACTGTGATGTTTTTACGAAAGCGCTGGGCAAGAACAACTGTAATAGTTTGAAGCTTATGTCAGATTTTTCTTAAAGAGGTAGTTCGGATTATTTCTATGTTGGGTTGTATGGGGTACTTATCCATAGTCAACATATTACCTATGGTAGATGTTGGTTCGGCTCACCCCTAGTTTGGAGAAGCAGGCTGGAGTCTACCACAGAGAATAAGCAATATACTGCTGTAGAGGGGGGAGAGCATTATTTTAGCCACCTAAAAAAATTCCACCAAAAAAACCTTCCCTTTAGACATCCTGCTCCAAACAAACAAAGAAAAGTTCAGTTCTCAGGAGGATATACTGTCTGTGGATAAGTACCTCATACAACCCCATTTAAAAAAATCTGAACAACTTCTTATAAGGAACTTTATCCTTTTCTTGCAGAGAGTTGGATTAGAGGATTGACACCACTTTCATGTCTGTGCAGCAAATATAAAGCTGGAGCCAGTAGACAGCTATTTTAGCTTAGCATAAACACTGGAAATGGGGGGAAACAGCTAGCCTGGCTGTCCAACAAATTTGCCACCCAGCACCTGAAAAGCTTTTGAAGTTGCTGGGCCAAGAAGTAGTACCGCTCATAACCCCCTGTAGAACTACAAACTGTTGTTATAAACAAACTAGTTAGTCAGGCTAACTGTTTCCCCCTGTTACCAGTCTTTATCCCATGCTAAGCTAACTGGCTCCTGGCCCCAGCTTCATAATGAAACTAAATATGAGACCGGGTTTGATCTTTTCATCCAACTCTCAGCAAGAGAGCATGTTTCCCAAGATGTTGAATCATTTCCTTAATGGGTGTAACTTCAATGAGTCAGTATTGAAAGACATGTTAATGTGTGAGGAGGCCTGGGAAAACAGGTGTCGAATCCCTGACGTGACTCTTATTGATCTAAAGAGGTGAATGTCACGGTCACATCAGCTGGGTTGAGATAATCAGGGCTTCCCTGGACTGCAGCCAAGTTGACACATGCAGTATCATTAACTGCACTGTGACCGACTGATTACTGTGTGCAGCTCTGTTTTCACACAGTGTGTATATTTTATCGCCTCCAGTTTTCATAATGAGGCTCAATTATGGAGCCAGCGTGACATTTCTGTGCTCTTTTTTGAAAAATGTCTTCATGTGGTATCGATCTCCATGCTTCTGTGTATGAAAACATCATCAGTTGTAATCACCCATTCATAATATCAGTGATTCATGCTTGTGTTTATAATCATGACTGAGCTGCTGTAATCTGTCAGAGTCACAGCCAGCGCACAATGCAGGATCCCAGCATGCATTGGGGCTGCATTAGATTGGGAGGAAGAATGGCCTTTTATTTGTCTGTCTATTTTGGGGACAAAAATATTGTAGTCAGGTAATTTAAAAAAACATCAACTACAATTTAGAATCTTGTGTTCAACAATAGGCTATTATTTTTACCAGCACAGCAACACGTGGCTGGTATTGTTTTCACCTTGTAAGTCTGTGTGTGTGGGTGTGTTTGTGCATGTCATCATGACAAAGTGTTGTCCTGGGGACAGATTGAAGTGGGAACTGCAGACAGATTTTGTTACTGCAATAGCGTCACAACTGTGCAAAACTCAGTCATAAAAATTTACAAGTGTCTTGCTGAGATGATAATGAAGGCTGAGCTTTAAGATAGGTGTGGTCCAAACAAGTGCACCAGAAGTAAAGGGGTATGACATAGGGAAGTTGTCATTGCCCTTTGCCCACATTTGTTCACAGCCACTTCCCAGTTTTAATCAATCATTCCCTTTCACTGGTCCAACCCAGTCTGGGGCAGTGATTCCTAACTGGTCCAGGCACAGGGTCCAGATACCTCCTTACTCATTATTTCAAGGACCACACACTTTAACACGTATGGTGTCGTCAAGCTAGTTTGCTGTTTCTGTCACAAAAAGGACAGCTAGTACTCCTTAAGTCAGTCACTGCACAGCAAGAAATGACACTTCAAAATAACAGCCCTGTGCTGGAAATTCACTGCGCTTAAAAGTAAAATGTGCTTTTTATGAGCTTGACACATTTGTGAGTCACTTGCAGTCCATTCAGAATGGACCACCAGTTGGGAACCACTGATCCAGGGCATATTGAATTAATCTGGCACACTTCATCTGTTTCACCAAACTCACTTCCCTCATGCAATTGCACCATACACACCAATCTTGCGCCGCCGCATCTCAAGATGGTCTCTAGTATTGAATTGAGTTTGTTTACTCTTGTTTTATTTTGGTGTAATTTAAAAGAAAAGTATGCTTATTGGCTTTCCTGCAGAGAGTTGGGTGAGAAGATACTTTGTCAGGTCTGTATTCCTTCTTCTTCTTCTGTCTATATCCCTTTTATTATGTGTGGGTATTATGGGAGTGTTGGGTCGGTAAATGAGAGCCATGTACATGTGTTTTATGTTATGACTGTGTCCATTTTACCGAAGTGTGTTGTATGTTTTGTGTTGGACCCCCTCGAAAACGAGATGGTTCATCTCAAGGGGCAATCCAGTAATAAAACGTTGTGAAAGAATTGATTCGCCTCTTAAAAAAGCAGATCACCTGCTTTTTTCAGTTTCTTTTGATGCCTTTAAAGTGAACACCTCTGCTTCTTTAATTTCCAGGTGACAAGGCCGACCCTTGTAAGTTCCAGGCGTGTAACGAGTATGCGGAGTGTAAAGTGAACAAATGGTCGGGGGAGGCGGAGTGTGTCTGCAATGCCGGCTACTTCAGCGTGGACGGCCTGCCTTGTCAGAGTATCTGTGAGCTGCGCACTGACTTTTGCCTCAATGACGGCAAGTGTGACATCATCCCCGGCCAGGGAGCCATCTGCAGGTGGGGATTAGGGGGAAGTGATCTGTGAGTGTGTGTGTGTGTGCTGGGAAAGAGTGTCTGAGTTTGCAGGTTTGCAAGGCCAGTGCTTCCTCACAGAAACAGATTGTCAACGGTTCATGCACGAGGCTTAGCTTCCCGTTTTAAAATCAGTTTGTTTGACTGGATGTTGATCATACGAAGGCAGATGATGTCCAGTGCACCCTAAAAGCCTTTCTTTTATCCGCCTTTGGGTGTCAAAATGTGCTCTAGCTTGAAGAATTATAATCATAACCAAATACATGGAATAGAGATTTAGTTTTACACCTTCATTGGCTGCAAATACCAATTAACTGTCTCCAAACCTTTATATTTTCTGGCCTAGATCAAGATTGTTTAAAAGAAAATCATGTCAACATTTTTAGTCAGAGCTCAAACCTTTGGCAGTTTACTATACTAATCTAATTGCGCCCTCCAGCATTCAATGTACTATACATAAATTAGAACAATGAGCACCATTTGTGGCGGCATAAATACTCAGATTTGTTTAATACTGTGATTTATTTTTTAGCTCCAGGATGCATATTATCACATTTTTGTTTGGTGAAATACTGTTTATTATATGGTGTTGCAGCCCTCTTTTATTTCCGTTATTATCTACAACATTTCTAAGGCTTAAAATTACGCTGTGTGTGTGTGTTTTTGTGGGTTTGTGTACGTGTTTTCATGTCCAAACAGACATTTGCTTGGTAAGATGATGTGCCAGTACTCCAGATCCGTGACAGAAACATGTCCTCTGGTTTGGTTCAAGCTCTGTTGTATGTGGTGCACTTGAAATTGAATAATTATGAACAGACAGATAGGAGGCTGTGTGCCCAGATGAGTGCTAACCTTTGTTTCACACCCTCTACCACATCATAAAACATGCAAGCAGCTCCAGATGCTGTTGGATTGTTGTTTACTCCACGCCATCCAACCTAAAGTGCTGCATCGCTCCATGGAGACAGGAAACAAACATTTGAAGAGTTAGTTTATTCCAAAACATTTCTGATTTAACGACACATACGGAACATTATAATTGTTGTTATTAACCATGTCAAGACATAATACGAACATGATCAAGTCATTCATTTCTACATTCTTTAATTATTCAAGACAATAAAAACCAGGAACAGCGATGAGGATGTTGTTCTTCCTCAGTTTCCTGAGTGCTTAAGAGTTTTAACAAGGATTCAGTCTGTGTTCAATTTTTGTTTCTGAGTGGAAATTATTTTAGCTGACAAGGTTTAATCATCACCTCAGGTGTCGTGTCGGGGAGAACTGGTGGTACAGAGGAGAGCACTGTGAGGAGTACGTGTCCGAGCCACTTGTGGTTGGCATAGCGATCGCCTCAGTAGCGGGATTCCTGTTGGTAGCCTCCGGAGTCATCTTCTTCCTCGCCAGGACGTTACGGGACCAGTATGACAAGGATGAGTCAGAGGACCCCATACGGTGAGGCAAACCACCCACGAATCATGAGTTAGATCTGACATCTAATCCATGTTATTTTCACTGGGTCTCTCCAGTTTTTAGATTTAGATTTTGTTTAGTTATCAGTAAGTGACACAGTGGAGATTTAAACAGATCTTTTGCTAAGCCCTGCCCCCCCCATATGTGCTGTTGTCGAGCCTGTCAAGCTTTCGCCACCACATGTCAAGAGGGGGTTTTCAGTGACATCAGTAAGAGATAGTCCAAAGGAAATGACAGCACAGTTTTGTAATAATAGTCCTGAAATATCAGAGCAAAGTAGGCAACACAATAGGCTGCATGTTGGTGCAGTCGTTAGCATTGTTGCCTCACAGCAAGAGGGTTCCTGGTTCAAACTCAGGGTGGAGAAACCCCTCTGTGTGGAGTTTGCATGTTCTCCCCATGTCAGCGTGGGTTTTCTCCAGGTACTCCAGCTTCCTCCCACAGTCCAAAGACATGCAGGTTAATTGGTGATTCTAAATTGTCCGTAGGTGTGAATGTGAGTGTGAATGGTTGTCTGTCTCGATGTGTCAGCCCTGTGATAGTCTGGTGACCTGTCCAGGGTGTACCCCGCCTCTCGCCCAATGTCAGCTGAGATAGGCTCCAGCACCCCTGCGAAATGAATGAGTTCGACTGAACCAAACTGGTCTGAGTCTGCAGCTGCCTGGACCAGAGAGCAATGTGAAACAGAAGAGTGCTCACTCTGCTGCAGAATCTGGGGACCAAAATGTCCCTAAAAGTACACTGCACGCCCTCCGACAAAAAGAAGAAAAATTCTGCTCAACTTGAAGAATCACAGTCGTCTAAGGGGTCTCAGACTTATGATGCAAAGTGACTTTCAGGGGGCAGCCCTAATATGAGCATTAAATCAAAAACAGCATGCTAGGCTGCCCACATGGGATCAAGTCCTCAGATATGAGGATCACGTATCAACAAACCAGCATACATCAGTATTAGCCTAATTTTATGCATGATCAATGATGATAAAGATACTGAAAAATGATATTGCAGTGCAAAAATAGCATAAAGTCAATATTTGAGAGACCTCCTAAAATTTCACAAATCATGTTTTCAGGTGAGCTCATGTCTTATTCAGAGGAGCCAAGCGTCCCCTGGCTCCACTGTCGTTTTTTCACTCTGACTGTATTTCATCTTCTAGTAATATTTCCAAACATAACAAATATGTCAGGCTGAATTTAAAATACGTGCACAAAACTTTCACAAGAGACCCAAAATATTTCTGTTGGACATGAAGGTGCATCATGTTGCGTCCAAAAATGTAACCCTGGGTCTGAATAGATGTGCAATTCACATGTAGAACAAGCAGAAACAGCATATACTTTATACAGTATATGTAACTCTGACACTCACATATATATTAAAACTCTCTATATATTCTATATACATATAACCTACACCACACTGCATTGTAAAATAAACAGTATGTGATGAATTAACCTGTCAGATTTTTGCTGTTAAATATATTCTTTGACATAAGCAAAGTTTACGGTTCTGTTTGATAGTAAACAGAAACGCTTAAATTTAGTCTGTTTGAAGTTTTCTCTCCTCCACAAGATCGTTTTAAGATTAAAGGAGCCTGGTTACTTTCTTTAGGGGACCGAATAAGTTGAGACATGCCATGACTGCATCCCCAGTTAGACAGCCAAATTTATCCACACCACCATCCCTGTACTCCTCTGCACTCACAGCAGGAGATCCACCTCTCTGTGCCTGGGTATCTATTTACTCCTGTCCTGCTTTAAGCCCTCTGTTACCTTTTGTTTTGCAGACACAAAGACACGCAAAGTATCTGTTCACCATCTATCTGTGTGTGTGTGTGTGTGTGTGTGTGTGTGTGTGTGTGTGTGAGTGAGTGAGTGAGTGAGTGAGTGAGTGAGTTAATGAGTGAGTGAGTGAGTGTGAGTGTGAGTGTCTGGCATGCTTCCCAGAGCAGCCTGTGGAGAAACACTGTTAACCTAAGCCAGTTAACTGATCAGATATGGTGCTGATCTATTTCCAAAAAGCCTTAAACACCCAACACAATAGGCTCTCTGTTAGTGTGGACTCAGGCAGTAACTAAAGGGACTTATCCAAGGTTAATGAAGGTTAATCAGTCATAACCACTGCAGCTCAGTTTTCTTTTCTGGCTTTCTACATGACGTGTTGCTTTGTTTATCGTCCTGGCTCCATGCTGTGACTGAGTTATTTGTGCATTGCTCCACAGGCGAGCAGAGAGTCTCCCGTCTCTGGAGAGGGCGACCAAGTACAACCCCATGTATGAGAGTGAGGCCACCACAGGCTACAGCCACTACTACCGCCGCTACCCTGAAGCTCCTGTGTACAGCAGCGCCAGCGCTGAGGCCTCCACTGATTTCAGCAGTGAAGAGATACGACACATCTATGAGAACAGTGAGCTGACCAAAGAGGTGTGTGTGAGCTGCTGTTCACTGGTCGATTTAGAAGAAGCTGTGTATTGACATTTTAAATAAGTGATCACAGAGGAAGTTAGAGATGATCAGTGGTGGGAGAATACTTATATTTACTTACTTATATTTTGAGTTAAGTTACAAGTAAAATTTATGCACTCAAAACTTTACTTAAAGGGAAACTTCAATACTTTTTAACTTGGACTCTATTTTCTCATGTTCTTGTGTCTAAGTGAGTAATATGGAGTTTTTAAAACTGGTCCAGTATTGAGAGAGATGAAACTGGCTGCAATGTAAACCCTATGGGCAATTGACCTTTCGCTAAGCCCCAGCCCTTAGGTGATGGTCCAACAAGCTGTCAGAGTAAGCATGGAGCCCTCACTGTAACTAACTGCACTCCTTGAAGAAATATTATCATATTTTTGGAGAAATGAAACAGTGATTCCAGAGAGAAGCAGACAGAGGGGTCTACAGTCTGTGTTTGAAGGATATATCCAGGATGTCAAACTGACTCAGCAGCAACAACAGGTTAAAAAGACAAAGATAGTTAGAAGCTAAAGCCGAACTATAGGCTACAGATCACAGTGTAAAAGTGAACCACCACATCACTGCTGATCGCCACACAAGACAATGAATATAAAGGGAAACTTTGCTGATATTGAACCAGCTGTGTGGCATCGCAGTGTGTGCAGATGAACAGTGTTTGACTTCACCCCCGTGCTGCTGCCAGCACCCAGACCTCCGCCGCCAGATGGGGAATGAATCTCCAGGTGAAGTCAAACAACGTTCATCTGCGTATACTGCAATGACACACAGCTGGTTGAATATCAGCAAAGTTTCCCTGCTTCCCTTCACTGGTTCCTGTACAGCAGGGTCGGTCTTTATTCACTGTTATAATCATTACAAAGCAAAAGCAGCATGTGTATACATTCAGTAGGCTATATCTTCAGTAGCTAGCTAGCTAACCCTACACTAGCCCATAGTGATTACATTGCAGCCTGTTTCATCGCTGTGGCTCTATCGCTCTCTCAATACTGGACTAATTTAAAAAATTGTCGTCTCTGTATTAGTCACATAGATGCAAAAACATGAGAAAATAGGGTCCAGGTTCAAAAATAAGTTCCCTTTCAGAAAAAGTACAAGGTACATGCACTAAAATATACATAATGTACCAAAACAAATGAACTCATTTTGCAGTTGGCCCATATTAGAATGATATAATAGTTTTTTATATTGAATTATGATTAGTAATGCATTTATGTGTTCATGACTTTAATGGTGCAGCTGGGGCCCTTCTAACTACTCTATATAATACCGCATAGCTTACTGATCTGAAATGGAGAAAAATAAGTATTATTACATTAACTGGCCTAATATGGATGTACACCAAGTCATGGAGATGTCTTCTCTCATTTCATAAAGAAAAATTTATACAGTTGTACTGAAATGCAGGTAGAAGATGTGCCCAGGATGGGATACATCACTTTCATTTCCCACATCAAAAGTTTACCTGACAAGAATCTGAACTGGGAAGTCTTGGTATATTACCAGCTGGCTTTATTTGCTCTTAAATAGGAAGCCATTATATTTTTTTCTGAGTGCATAATGTCACATTTTGGTTGAGCCACAGCCTGTTCAGTTTGTTTTTTTATCTGCCTATGATGTAATGCTCCCTCCCGACTGATATCATGTGTTTCTGCAGGAAATCCAAGACAGGATACGCATTATTGAGCTCTACGCAAAGGACCGGCAGTTTGCAGACTTTGTACGGCATCATCAAGCGTGAGTGCCTCTGTTGTTTTTCCTTTTAGACTGCAATGAGATAAACACATGGACCAAACGCACCAGGATGTGAGAGAGGGAAAAAGGGAAGTGAGTTTGAGATACAGCAGTCTGGCGAGATTGTGCTGAAAAAAAAAAAAAAAGGCGCTGGAGGATGACCAAAAGTTCAAGTCATGCCAAACCAGTGTGGAAACAAATTTATCATCCTTAGATCTTCACCAATCAGGCCCGGAGCTGATACAATGAGACAGAAACCATTAGGAGACACAGACATTCCTCTGTCTGCCAACAGTCTGGCAGTAGCACTGTGTCTGTGTGTTAAAGCGGTGGGTGTTTTTAAGTCGTATCTGGCTGTAGATCACCGCCGTCTGTGCCATGGAGATTCTTCATGCCAGATAAACCCAAGATAAGTTGTAGGCACTTGTTTGTGCAGTGAAGTAACCAATTACAATAGGAAGATGAAATCTAATGTGTTTTTGTTTTTATGTGCTGCAGCGTTGTGGATACCCGCAGAGAGAGCTCCTCGGTGCACACATGAAGCTCTACTGTAAACAAGGTATTTCTTTCTATTTTAGGACTCTGTTACAAGTACTTAATTTGAATTACAAGTCCTCTGATGATCTTTGTCAATATTATCAGCTACTGTAGAGTCAGTGGGGATTAAAAGACAGTGAAATACTTAATGTGGGGCTATGTACATGCCAAGACTTTGTTTTAGGAAAAGAAACGGAAAAGAGACAAATTATGATCTGGTTGCATATGGACTAAAGAGCAAAGGGGGTGTAGCTTCTGCAGTTTTGAACATATAACTATAATATACATAATACACGTAAGTATGCATGACAGAAGATTTAAAGGAATAGTACAAACCTTTGGGAAATATACTAATTTGCTTTCTTAGCTTAGCTTAGCATAAAGACCATAAGCAAATGGGAACAGTTAGCCTGGCAGTCCAAAGGTAACAAAATCTGCCTACCAGCCCTTCTATGGTGCACGAATTCAGTGGTTCTCAAATGGTGTGCTGTGATGCCAACCCAGGTGTTCTGTTGGATTTTGTGATAAACAAAAATTAGTATTGCAATATTCAACTGGGCCTATACAAAAAAGTTATGAATTACTGGATCAGCATGTTGTGCAAACCCATTTCCTGATAAAGAGACAAACTCTGGCTAAAAAATTTACTTTAATTTATTTTAAAAATACCTTAACTGGGAAAATATTTGTTCCTATTCTTACATTAGTGTGTGACACATCAAATGCCCTGATTGGCAGCCAGTGTGAGGGATGGTAACATTTAAAAGGAGAAAGCCATGAGTGGGACGATGGATCGCTTTATGGTATGCAACAAATAACAAAGCACCAGCGAACACAACCTACCAACAAAAGAAAACAGAAAAAAAACTGTCAGTAGACAGTATCACAAAAGCTACCTGTCGTATTTGTTCTTAATTTTATTGTCTTATGTTATGATTAGAGTGATAACACATGTTATAGAAGTCATTGTGCACAGATCTTAATAGGTGTGCCTTGAGATTTTGACTTGCCGTTTGGGGTGCTTTGGCCACAGAAAGTTTGAGAACCACTGCCCTGATTAACACACTACATCTTGTTTATTAATTCTGTGCAAAAACAAAATCTTAAAACAACACACTGCAGTTTTATTGGGGGTTATGTTGCCTGACCAATCCGTATACAGGAAGTCATTGCTCCAGATCAGGAAAAATTCCAGCACTTATCTCCTGTAAAATCACAAATTGTTGTTTTGCAACTTGACTTTTGCACCAATTGTTTTCCCTTTGGACAGAGCCAGGCGAGCTGTTTCCCCGTTTCGAGAGTGGTATCAACCTTCTCTCTTAAGAAACCAATCAAGCTTATTTCCCATCAGTTCAATCTCAAGTGGGCTTACAGGATATTGCAGCCTCATAAACAGAATAGAATATTGTATTTCCTAAGAGCTTCAAGGTGTGTGTCCACGTATAATAAATCTGATAGTGTTTTTCTTTGGCATCATTCCAGGGCTTCATAAAAAAGTGCTCCCATTGCTTTTTTTTGGGCATGCTACATGAGGGTTTTGTTTCTGTGACAACAATATCTACACATTGATGCTAGCTAGTTAGCTAATGTCATGCTACAGGGCTGACAATAGAGCTCACAACAAGCTTACAGCGTATACAGTGATAAAAGCCCAACACTCACCAGCAACATTCAGTGTTTGGGCAAACTGCTCCCACAAATAGGCTTTTCTGTCCTTGTTGTGATAGTTTCTGACGGACATAACGTATAGCTTGGGATAGACAGTAGCTAAAGGAGCGGCAGTGACAACAACAGTGTCTTTCTGAAAAGTTGAGTGAGTTAAGCGCTTAGAGTGGTTGCACAAAAAAGCCAGAGTACTCTAAAAAAGATGCTGGGTGCTGCGCTTTTTCTCTAGGAGATGCATGCTGCCAAAAACAATCTCTCCTCACTGGAAACAACTGATAAAAGACACTGCCACTCAGAAAAAAACTAGATTGTAGTGTGTGTATTAGATGTATCTCATACATATAAAAATGTGGACTCTGCAAACTGACTCACTTTTTCCTGATGCACAGAAACTTGCCTCTCTGTTAAAAACTGAATCTCCCTGTCAAGACTCTCCACTTTCTTCATCATGGCACTGTGCGCTCATGGACTGTTTGAGATGGACTGTCATTCAGCACGCTGCTCTTTACTTTCCTGACCAACGACCTCGCTCTGTCTGTCTCTCTGCGTACGTCCCTGAAGTGTTGACTCTTCTTCTTCCTTCTTTTGTGCCTTCTCTTGACTGGGTGAGCTGGTTGTGACATCGAGTGTTTGCTGCTCATCTGCTGGACATCTCCTTTCATGGGAAAACTGGACTGCATCCTATTACTTGAAATGTTCATCACAATTCTGTCTACGCTAGTACTGTTGTTTAGTCAAATATCGAGTTTTGTGTCATCATGTCATAACTATCCATTCTTTTAAAGGGAAGAACTTAAAACTGTGAATATGTATATAGTGTTGCCGTTGGTATGTTTGCTAGTTAAAGGGGACCTATCATGCTTTTCTGTATTTTCTATATATTTGTAGAATGTCAGATGTTCATGTTAAACGTGGCCAAAGTTTTAAATAATGAGGTAATTATATAAAATAATCCCTGTATGCAAAAACTTAAGGCATGAGATCGTTAGCCTGGGACAGATTTTGTTATATGGTCATCTGCTCCAGCCACACTACGGCAAGTGTTTACATTACATACACTGCTACATGAAGCTACATGCTAACATCAGGGAAACATGTAATCTTTGATAGCGATGTTGTCAATTCGTCCCTGATTTTGGATCATATTTCTGTTGAAACATGACTGGTTGTGAAAATTTTGGTTTAGAAGCATTTATTGGTGGTTTTTCACAGGATTTTTTACGGCTGCAAGTACACTGCTACATGTAGCTACCTGCTAACACCGGGAAACATGTAATCTTGGCTGCAGGTATCTTTAATTTCTTCCCAATTTAAGATCAAATCCCTGCTCAAACATGTCCAGTTGTGTTTAAAAGCTCTAACTGGTGATTTTTCATTGGAGAAAGTGGCGTCATACATGGTCATTCCCTAGCTGCAAGTACACTGCTACGAGTAGCAATATGCTAATGTCAGGGAAACCTGTAATCTTGATTGTTAATGTTATTAATTTGTCCCTGATTTGGATCATGTTTCTGCTGGAACATGTCTGGTTGGTTATTCACTGTTACAGTCATTCTCCTGGCTGCAGAGATGCTGAGATACAGTAGACCAGATTACGCTGACCAATCAGAACAGACTGGGCTTTTTTAGGAGGGTGTCGTAAACAGACAGGCGCTAAATGTTTCAAAAAGATGGGGTGAATACAGGTATTCCAGTACAGACAGTATGAGGAATGTTTTCTTTTACATTAAAGCATGTAAATATGTTCCACTAGACACCCAAAATACAAGTATGGACCTGAAAATGAGCATGACAGGTCCCCTTTTATGCCCAGTTCAGACCACAGATTCGTGCTGAGACGAGTTGAAACAGGCAACTACCTGCCGGTTCACACCAATGCAACTACATGAAATGGTGTATCATCTAACTGCAACAACTCTCTGTACTTATGTTCTGATTTCCAGCTTTTCAGGCTTATTTTGTGGCTGAATATAATTTATGGCTTCTTAAAATATGATTGAGGATAGTGATAGTGAGATACTGGCTACAGCTGCATTTGGAACTGTAAAAAAACAAGCATCAGATGGACTGTATTCAGGATATATACGCCACAATAATATGAATAACCAGCACCAGTCTCATTAGTCAATGAGAATGTGTGTGTGAGGGGGGCATAAGCACATACGGACGGCAGCAGCAGCGACCCACCGTCCGACATTGAGTTCCTCAGCGGACTTCACTACAAGCCAATTGGCTGTTGAAACCTGCGAGCAGCCTTGCGTTTTAAAACCAGCTGCCGGCGATTTGACCAGTTGAGTTGGAGGTGACACCATCAGCCAGCTTGAGTGGAGCTTAGACGGCTAGTTCACACCGCTGCAACTTTTCTCTGCAGCGTTCTGAAAGGGTTTTGTCTTGTCACAAATCTTTGGTCTGAACTGGGCTTTAGATGTTAAGATATTTAAGATATATGAAATTTACTCTTTATGTTTTCTCAGAGAGACGTGAGTGGCTCTCTTTTAGTCAATGGTGCTATCTTAATTTTAAAATATTTACAATTTAAAATCAACACCGGTGGATCAGCTCTGTATGAACTACTGTACATTAAATGAATAGTTAAACATTTTTATTATCTTTCTATTAGAGGCTGAGATGACTCTCATATTTGTCCAGTGCATATGAAGCTACTGCTGTTAGCTTAGCTTAGCATAAAGACTGGAAACAGGTGGAAACAGCTGGCCTGACTCTGTCCACATGTAACAAAATTTGTCGATATAAGCATGTAGGCCCTGCATATTAAACAAATAAAATATAACGTGTTATTGAGCGAATGTTAGAAGTGCTAGTAGATGGATTTTTAAACTTTTGGACAGACCCAGGCTCGCTGTTTCCACCTGTTTCCAGTCTTTGTGCTAAGCCAAAAAGCTGCTTGCTGTAGCCCAACATTTAATGCAATTCCCAAAATGTCAAACTATTCCTTTAAGATGGCCAAATGTAGTGATGGTGTATATATTATTGCTGTTCATCAATGTAAAAGCAGCCTTTCACAATCTGAATATTACTCCAGCAACTTTTCTCCTGGCAGGTGATTTCTCTGCCTTTTTAATGGCTCCATCCATCAGAAGCTTCGCTGTATGTTTGCAAATGTACGACTTGGTAGACATGACAAAGTAAAAACAGTGGTGATGGGAGAAAAGCAGAGAGCATGAACCCTCTATAGCTCTGAGATTCAGAAATAAGTGAAAACACGTTTCAGTGGAAAAATGCTGCGGGGCCAAGCGTCCCAGGGATTTGATCAAATGGTCTGCTTTCAGATGTCATATGTAATGCAACTGAGGGAACAGGAAAAGCAGGCTGATAAACAACATGTGCTAGTTGGAGAGACAACCTCAAGCTGTGTCTCCTGCTGAAAAAACCTCAAGGTTACCAGCGATTCTTTAAAAAACGATCTGCCCTGTGACTACTTGTTTGGCCCTGATCCTGCTCCTCAATCTGAAAAACCGTCTGACAGACTAATCCCAGTGTTTTCTTTGGTATTCTCACATGTTCCTCTCTGGACTTGTTCTGCTTGATCCCTCTTGTCCCTCGAGTGGACCCTCACAGCTGCAGCTGATTACGATCTGTAGGTTTTAGATTGTTGTCGGCCAGTGTGACCGTCAGAATCAGACACGTAGATCATGTCCTAGCTTCTTGTTTACATTACGTGCTTCTTTGCTCTTACTGTAGAGGTCCATACAGGTGACAAACACCAGTGAAGCAGACTCCTGTGACAGTGTCATGCCTTTTGCAATCTGCATATTCCATTGTGTTTTTATATGCATGCTTTTTTAAGTGTCTGCATACGTCCTCCATATGCCACCTGGACAAACGGCCGATCACCCCACACAGTATTCTGTCATGTAAATAACTGTGAAGACGTTAACAGTCGTAGGATGTAAATCATGTTTGTCTCAAATGTTTTAATATATGAACATATTCTTTTTATACTGATAACTGTTTCACCACTTTAACAGTGTTATCATACCGTGCAGCTGTGTAAATGACTCATAACAAATTGTAACGCATAAAAATAAAATGTTTTATATAAAATGCAGACTGAAGCACTGTATTTTGGGGTACTTGAGTATTTCTATTTTATGCAACTTTGTTCCTCTAGCAGCTGTAGTTACCTTTCAGATTAAGATTTTATGTGGTGGTTAGCTTCGTCACCTAACTGCAAGAGGATTCCTGGTCAGAACCCCAGGGTGGGGAAGCTGTGCAGAGTTTGCACGTTCTCCCTGTGTCAGCATGGGTTTTCTCCAGGTTCTTGGGCTTCCTCCCAAAAACATGCAGATTAGGTTAATTAGTGACTCAGAATTACCTGTAGGTGTGAATGTGCGGTGCGGTAGTCTGGTGACACTGTCCAGGGTGTACCCCGCCTCTCGCCCAGTGTCAACTGGGATCACAGGGTCGGCAGGGGTCAGCTAACAGGATAAGCAGTTATGGATAATGAATGATCTGCCCGTGAACAACATATTTTCATTCCCAACTCGTCACATATTTAGTGGACTTTTGACGTTTACATATGACGCACTAGGTATCTTGGGTGTGTCTGTTGCTGATGTTCTGGGACACAGTGTCAGTTTACGCCCGTTACATGCATTGTGTCTCGAAATGTACAGGTTGTGCTTGTTAGATTTATACAGTTATAAATACAGTCAAACTGTCAAACTAGGCAGCACTGATAACATTTGAAACAAGATCCAGTTACTGCACAACCTGTATCTCACCTCAGATGTTTTCTGAGACATATTTTAGTGTACTGTTTGTTTTTCTGTAACATGATACAGATGATTTAAACAAATATGACAAAAAGTCATTTTTTAAAAAGTTAACAACTACACCTCTGATGCATCTTTAATGATAATGTAATAGTCCGACCTCTATAAGGCTATTCTAAAAAATGATTATGTTTATTTTTGACACTTCCAGAACATTTGGCTGAACTTTCACTTGATTTCACACCAGCAGCTTAGCTTATCTTAGCATAAAGCCTGGAAACAGGGGGAAAAAAGCTAGCCTGTCCAAAGATGCCAAAATCTGTAAACCAGTAGGCCACATCCAAAGGAAGAGGTCAAGCTGTTTCCCCTGTTTCTTTGCCTTACGCAAAGCTAAGCTAAGCTAATGGTCTCCTGGCTGTAGCGTCATATTCACCGTACAGATGTGAGTTGTGTCCATCCTCTCCTCTACTTCTCAGCAAGTAAAGCAAAATATTAAGATATTCCTTTAAAAATGCATTAACAGAGTAAATACATGCTTAATTTGAGGATGTGAATACGTCTGTGTCACTTTTGTCATTGTCAAGAAAACAAAGTGGGAAGAGACTTGCTCTTTCTCTTAGAGTCACTGACATTATTGACTCTTACCACTATGCTGTTGGACCAGGTGTTTGGCTGCTCCCTGATAATCCCAAGAGCAGATTAGCCTCAGCAGGTATGGATTATAGGCCCGACTGTGGCCGTGACAGTTTCTAAAAGAGTGTATACCAGTAATCAGCCTGCGTCACACTTGTGCACACATGTCAGGGTGTGGCTGTGTAGTGCCTGTGCACAAGTAAAGGACATTGTGTGTAAACATGGCACTGGTCTGGTGAAACAATACAACTACGAGCGTTGTGTCATTGTTGTGCATGCAGAAAAAAATTGGATCCAGCTGTTGTTTCTTTTGTTATGTTTTAGTGCGAGCATTGTTCCAGAGGTTTGGATTATATTTGGTGTGGTTTGGTGTGGTTTGGTGAAGTCAGCGGGTGTGCTGGTGGCCAGTGATGGCGTCACTTCATTAAATTTAATATTAGAAAATCTACATCGTCATGGTGACAAAGCAGGAGGGTGTGCCTGCTTTAAGTGGCTGATTTTGGATCTTTTACCTGCATGAAGTCAGTGTCACTGTGGCGCATGGCAGTGGATGAAAAATGGAAAATACAAGTGAGAGAGGAAATCATTACAGCATGCTGACGGACCAACAGGCAGTGTGTTCATGCTGGAGGATAATTTTGGTAGACGGGTGAGTAACAGATAAAAGTCCCAGTGGTGGAGAACATTCCTGACCGGGTCAGTCAGTGTATGCCTGGATGAGAACAGCATCTTCCACCAGCTTTGGACTTCTTCTTAAGGCGCTGCCAAGATATTGGGTGTGTCATATATGACAACGCAATTGTGTGTGACCAGTCTCTGGAAAAACCCTTGTGTTCAGTTGACGTATGCATTTCTTCCCACAGATCTCACTGCTGTATGTGATATAATAGTAGTAATAATAATGACAAAACTGTTTTTTTCTTTAAAATACTTTTTCATTCTGACTCTGTGGACGTTCTGGGCGGGGCCAGGGGGTGACCTCCTTGTGTCCCCCAAAATGCAGTGATGTTTTCTCTCCAGAAGACAAGACAGTCCTCACTCCCTTACTATGGAAAATGGCAGTCACTGTAATATTAATTTCAATTTAATTTTAACTGTGTATGAAACGCTAGAGGGCTTTTAATTTGAAACAGGAAGTGGCTTCACTCACTCAATCAGTGACTTTCGCTCTTATAGTGCCAAATAGCCAAATCATAGCATTAGTTCAGGCAGGACATGATGTCAAGCTCAGCTCACATCCCAGCTACATCAGCTGATCTCAAACAGCCAATGCTGCTGCTCTCCCTGCCTTAGGCTTTCCATGTAGGCGCATGGAAGGGCAGGGAGGTTTGCTCTCTCTGCCTCAGGCTTCATTTTTGCATGTGGAAGGGCAGAGAGGTGTGCTCACTCTGCCTTATGCTTTCCACGTAGGTGCTTGGAAGAGGCTTTCTGCGTAGGCCCAAGGAAAGGCAGAGGGGCCCCGGAACAGAGCCATACCGCCAAATATAATACTGCAAATGGAAAAAAATTCTTTGACTAAAGTGGTCCTTAATTGAAATACATGTTAAAATAAAGAACAAAAGACGGGGCGACAGTAGCTCAGTCCATAGGGACTTGGCTT